ACACTTGAAAAACCAACCCAATGCTGCTATGTTGAAACAACAACAACAGCAGCAGCTGGCCCGTATGCCCAACAGCATGCCCAATGCCATGACTAATAACATGGGCTCTGCTATGCCCACCTCCATGCCAACCAGTATCCAGGGTGCCTTGCCTGCACAGGCCCAGTCATGGCAGCAGCAGCAGCATCCAGGTCTCCAACCCGGCTCTGCTAACGGAGGCATGCCAGCAGGTTTCCCCAACTCTGGCTTCCACATGCAGCCAAGATTGTCCAAACTTTCCAACAACACCCCATTTCCCCAGGGTGGCATGGGGAACAGTGCAGCTGGTAGGACCCTGACAGTAATGAATCCTGGACAGATGTTGCCTAACATGAACCAGCAACGGACCAATAACCCAGGCATGTCCCAACAGCTGCCCCCTCCTGGCCAGCAGATGGTCCAGCAGGCGCAAGCGCCGCCTCAAACTCAGCAGGTTCTGTCTGACTTGGGGCCCTTCAGTCAGCCACAGGCCGGACCTAACCGCACCGCAGGACTTCAGTGCAGTCAGGCCTATCAGATCAACAGGACAGCCAATCAGCAGCTCCAGTTTAGCTATAACGCCCAATCGGGAGGCAGCTTGTCCGGGTTTCCTGCCGAGACAGACCTAGTGGACTCTCTGTTGAAAAATCCATCGACACAAGAGTGGATGGATGATCTAGACGAGCTGTTGGCCAGTCACCAGTGAGTGATGGCCATGGGCCAATAACAGCCAATGCTGGTGCCTTTGGTAGAGGAGAAAACATAAACATCCACTTTCGGATGTTTTCGGATATGGTGAAACTGCTCATATCACACTCAGATCTGCTGTGTTCTCTGAGTATGTATATGGTGTATATAAAAGAGGTCAAGTAGAGCACAGAGCCCGTGTCACTGAAGTATTCTCTGGACTGGAAATTTCAAAGAGGGAACTGCTCTACTACTGACCCTGTGGCTCAGTAAAACCACTGAATTTTCTTATGAGTGTGAGCTCAAACACTAGTTGAGCCATTCACACTGTTGTGTTGCCTATGTGTTCGCTGTAGGCATGAGGAGGGTCTGTTCAATGTCAGGAGTGTCTTGAGTCTCTTGACACACTTCCACAGGCCTTAAATTTGCACTCTTGAAGATGCACAATATGTGATTTACAGTAAAACGGTCTAAAGCAGTAGTTAACCCAAAATTGAGCATATTTGAATCATTTACTAACCATGTCGGTCCAAACCCATGTGAATTTGCTTCATGAGGGATGTCCAGTCCAGCTCCTGGAGGGTCACCTTCCAGCACAGTTTAGCCCCAACCCAAATTCGACACCTGAACCAGCTAATCAATTCTACAGGATCACTAGGCAATAGAGATGGTCTTTTTATGGGGAGATGCCATTTGACACTCGCATCATATCCTTGACGTCACTGAATTGCTGTCAGAGATGTACGAAGGTCAATAACAGTTTGTGGATACCATAGAAATTGAGAAGTGCCGTAAACTGAGTCTTCCCCGATGCAAAACATTTTCACTGTAAACTCCAAAAATTATTACAAATTCCAAAATGGCTGTTTAATGGCAAACATGTTGATTCATATAGTAATAAGCTGCTCATCACAAAAGCAGTTCATTCAGAGTACTGAAGCCTCTTCTCCACAGACATCCATTCAAATGTGGACTGTGGCCCTCTAGAAAGAGATCAGACTTCTGCTTTTAGAGGTTTATCAGAAAACTGACGCTGTGTGTATTATCATTCTTCAGATTGTCTCATTTGTATGTTCCACTAAAGATAGTCATGCGAGTTTGGAACGACATGAGGGAATAAAGGATCACAACTTTAGTTGAACTGTTACTTTAAGTTCCATATGTTCATTGGTTAGTTTCTCATTGACTAAATTTAGGAAGTAGATGCTTTGTGGTTTGTTTAATCAGGCCATGACCGCTTGAAGGCGTGTAGCTGAGACTAATAGTGAAGATGAACTGATTAACTCTACAGTGCCCCAGTGAAAGTAGATTGCGTCGTTACACTACACTAAGATGTTTTATTTTTTATTTTATTTTTTTTCTGAAAAGCTCAGAGCTTCTGTGTTGGTGAGGGTTAATAGTCCTGTTTGTTTTCTCCCTCTGGTGTCTGATGTTACATTGAGGGCAGGTCAGGTGGCGGTCTGAACCGCGTTACCTGAACTCTCTCTCCATCTAAGATTCTGTGACAGGATTTCATGTATATTTATATATTTTTTGTATGTATGCCGTTTCTATTGTTCAGGAGAAGATAGATCTTATTTTTATATGTACATTGATGCAAAATTGTGTAAGTATTTTATACTTTTTATTAATGTTCTCTGTAAAACGAGAGTATTGTGTAAATATAGTTCTCTAGAAACGGTCTTGTTTGGTGTGTTTATTGAGCGTTTTGGGTGATTTGTGCATTAGCAACTTAGTTTTGATGTAATGAGGTTCAGGAAAGCTTCAGATAATACTCTAATGCAGGTGAACATACATGAAACATTCTGATAAATGTACCCCCCCCCATTTAAAAAGCATCTTAACACACTATCCATGGACAAAATGATTGGCAAGTCATGGAATACAAGCATGACTGGCTTAAAATTGAGGAGGCAAAGGCAACTTTTGTTCAGAAATTGTAAAATGAGTTGTTACACCAGATTTTTCATGAAACTTTGTGGTAAAAACAATTAGCATTAATTTCTTTCATGGGGCG